AAATAGGCCTAATCATTACTCGATTAATAAAATAACAAGCGGTATTTGTGGCTTCCACCCAAAAATGTTTTTGGCAAATTTTTCACAAAGCATAGTTCTAGCCATTTCTTCTAAAGTTCGATTTTCCTCTCAACAACTCCATTTTGTTTAGGGGTTCTAGGTGCTGAAAAATTATGGCTAATTTCATTTGAATTACAAAAATCAGTAAATCCAAGATTTTCAAATTCAGTACCATGATCACTCCTAACACTTGAAATAAAGTAACCTTTTTCATTTTAGATTATTTTTGAAAAAGTAATAAAATTTTCTAATGCTTCATCTTTAGTACTTAAAAATAGAACCCAAATATATCTAGAATAGTCATCTACCAAGACAAATGCATATTGTTTTCCACCCAAGCTAGTAGTTCTAATTGGCCCAAATAGATCTATACGGATCAATTGTAATACTCTACTAGTTGATACATCGTTAATGGATTTAAAGGAAACTTTCTTTTGTTTTCCCTTTGAGCATGCATCACAGATTTTATCAAGATTAAAGTTTAGCTTTGACAACCCTCTTACTAAATCGCCTTGAATTAGTCTTTGCAAAACACTCATGCTTGTATGTCCTAGTCTCCTATGCCATAACCAACTATCATGTTCATCCTTGGCAACTAGGCATAAATTAGTCATATTAATATAATCTAAATACACCATGTAAATGTTTCCTATTCTATGACCGATAAGCATAATCCGATTAGATGCAATGTCAATAACTTTACAACCATTTGTTTCAAGCAAGACAGTGTATCATTTATCACATAATTGACTAATACTTAATAGATTATGCTTTAACCTATTCACATATAACACATTTTCTATTTGTATGGAAGATGTATTACATATAGTACCTATACCTTCAATGTAACCTTTTGAGTTATCACTAAAGGATAACACTCCTCCATTTTTGTCGTTAAGCTTAGTAAACCGGCTCTTGTTTCTGGTCATGTGTCTCGAGCATCACTGTCAAGGTACCATGTATTTGAACTTGAATTTCGTGCCTTGAAGCAATGCTCCTTTTCCTATAAACATAGATTAATTTTTGATTTTTGGTATCCAAATTCTTTTGGGTCCATATTCATCAGTCCCTAAAAGCCTTGTCCCCTTGGGTATCCATTTGTTTAGGATATCCTTATCTTTAGTAGTATCAAGTCCTTTAGGAACCCATATACTCCTACTGATTTTACCATTTGAGGTTCTTTGGGGACCTTTATGATTGTAAGATTTAAAATTCTTTCTAATATAGTTGGATTTTGAATTTTCTCCTTTTTCAAAACATTTTGTTCTAACTTTATTGAAAGAAGCTTTAAGATCATCAATTTCTTTTTTATGATCATCATAAACTTTAGAAAGTAAGTTTTGCAAATCAGAATTTTTCTTTTCAAAATCATCGATTTTGACTTGCAAATTTTTAATCTTACTTTCAAGTTCAATGTTGGTCTTGAATATGAGATATTTTTCATTTTTCAACTTTGAAATATCTTTCTTGTATTTTGAAAATAATTTCTCATAATCCGAAGCCAACCCATTATATTTCTCTAATAACTCATCAAATAATAATCTTCTAAATTAGATGAGTTAGAGGTTACATGTGAGTCCTCCCGAAGGCCATTAAGCACAAGTTTACTACTTATTGTTCCTCTTCATCAGATGATTCGTCATAGTTCCAAGTCGCTACGTGTGCTTTATGCTTCTTCTTTGAAAGACCCTTCTTCTTCAATTGTGGACAATCGTATTTAATACGCTCAGGCTTTTTGCATTCATAGCAAATGATTGGGTCATTCTCTTTTGACTCATTTTTGAAGCCTTCATTTCGTTGGAATTTTCTTCCTCTATTTGGCTTCATTAATTTTCTGAGTATTCTGGAAAGTAAGGTCATTTCTTCATCTTTTTTTATCGTCAGAGTCACTCTTATCTTTCATAGATTTAAGAGAAACACCAACATTCTTCTTTTTCTCAGTCTCCTTCTTTATAGCTTCCTTCCTTCTCGAGGTCTACCTCATCTTGAATCATCATTTCATGAGTGAGGAGAGAACCAATGAGTTCATCGAAAGTTAAAGACTTTAGGTCTTTAGCTTCGATAATCGTAGTCTTCTTTGATTGCCAAGCTTTTGGAAGAGAATAAATTATCTTCCTCACAAGTTTCTCATTGGGGATTATTTCCCTAAATGCTTTGAGGCCATTGACAATCACCGAGAATATATCTGTAATAGCTTTGATATCTTTATTTGATTTCATCCTGAAATTTTCATAACTACAAGTAAGAAGACTGATTTTGGATTAATTTACCTTGTTAGTTCCTTCATGTGTGACTTGAAGTTTGTCCCATATCTCCTTGGCGGTTGAACAAGATGATATTCTCTCGTATTCATCTGGTCCAAGTGCACAGAAAAGAATATGGATAGCTTTTGAGTTGAGCTGAAATAATCTCGTCTCTTCTTCACTCCACATATTCGAATTTGTGGATGGTTCAGAGTATCCGTTCATCATGATTTTCCATGCTCCCATGTCACTAGCTTGAATGAAGAATTTCATCCTATTCTTCCAATAAGCATAATTAGCTCAATTGAAGAAAAGAGGTTTGTTGACGGGCTAAGAATCAAGAACGAAGTCGAAGTTTGATGTAGAGGCCATTGATGACTTGTATATTGATTGAACTCTTCCCGAATCTACTCAAGATGTGGTAAAACCTTCAAATAAGTGTAGCTCTGATACCAGTTGTTGAGTTAATCGATCGGATGAATCGACCAAGAGGGGATGAACTGGCAATTAAAATTTACGTGTAAGCTTTGACAGAAAATTGAAAATATTGGCACAGCGATTTAGAGTGGTTCGACTTTCTCAACCAAAGTCTACGTCCACTATCTTAGCTATCCACACTAAGGATTTTCCACAAATTCATTAATTTGTCTTTCTTTTGAGGACAAAGAGTAACCTTACAACTCCCTCAAGAATTATACCCCAAATTCTTGAGAATACTATCTTCTCAAAGAGAAAATTACAAACTTTGCAAACTTACAGAAAAACCTCACAAGGTAGAATGTTTGCACAATTCTAGAACAAATAAAGAACACTCAAAGATAAATACAATTGAGCACAAAGTGTGTTCTTGAAAGCAAAATGAATATTGAAAGGAATTTGGCTTGAATTGCTCAAACTTGATGTTTGATGCTTTCTCTCTTGTTTTTATCTCAATACTTTGTAATTCTTCTTGATCAAAGGCTTCAGAACTTGTTTAAATACACCTTAGGTGAATTCAGACCGTTGGGAATCAAATTGGTGATAATAGAGCCGTTATAGTGTGAAAATCCACTTGAAAAAGTTGTTGGGAGCGTATGGGTATCTATACACCTTGAAGGGGTATCGGTACTACGTGTATAAAATTCAAATATTTCGACCGTTAGAAAACCCATGGTATCGGTACCTCTCAAGGGGGTATCGATACTACCATGCAAAGAGGTATCGATACCTATCATGGTATCGGTGCCTATATTGCATTCTGTTATTTCTCGGAGTCAAAAATCAAATTAGAGGTATCAGTACCTTTGGGCTAGGTATCGGTATCACTATATAAAGGGGTATCGATACCCTATGGGGTATCCGTACCTTTTTTGCATTCGATGCTTGAGGGGTATCGATACTCACTAAGGGGTATCAATACTTCCCTATTTAAAACTCAATTTTGACTCGATTATGGTTCGAAACACTTTGTAAAAATTGTTCCAAAAATATTTTAAGTATAAATCACAATTTTTCATTAAGTAAGGAGTAAAAATTGATCTTTGAAAACTTGGAGTAATATTTTTGATATTCGAATAATTGAATCAAATATATAATTTTGAATCGAATATAAAATCTTAAAATTTAATCTTAAAATTCATTAACACTTTTGTTATATCGAAATATCAAAATGTTTTCTCAACATAATTTACAAATATAAAAGTAAACATGTTAGTTTTTTCGATAAATTCTAAATCTAATCGTAATTCTACCTAAAGAATAGGGGAATGAGGGACTCCAGGGAAGGAACAGAAGTGCTCCTAGTGGGTCTAGAACACATAACCTAAGGATATGGGATGGAAAAAAGATTAACAACTTAATCAATCGACTTAATGTACTTGCTTGTAAACATATTAATTTAATGATCATAATTAATCATGTACTTTAAATAGTGAAGAATTATTTTATCACACTATAATATCATAAATTCACACTCTCACAATTTCATCAATTGTAACTTATGAATCAGATAAATACCAAGTAGATCAATATCAAATCCTTTTAATAACAAGTCAAGTTAGATTGAATCAATTACAGACAAGGTTCATAACAGTTCAGGTAGATAACATGTTGAGTAATATCAATAATTTACTATGTTAGTCTCGGGTTCGGATTATATCAAATCGGATGCAGGTCAGGTTCGATGATCATATTATCAAGTTCAATTTGGGTTCAAGTCGTTCTTAGGTCGGGTTCAAATCTAAAATAATTAGGTCCAAATCGAGTTTAGTCGACACTAATTCAAAAACAAATCAATTTTAGATTGTCATCACCTCAAGTTATAAATAATTCTGACTCAAGTCGGTTTTAGTTTGATTTGTGATTTGATGATGATTCAAAATCAAATCGATTTTGGATCATTATCACTTCAAATCATAAATAATTTTGGCTAGTCCGATTTGTTGGTTCGATGTTTCTGGCCTATGGGGTTTATCCCTTTTTTTACTTGGAACACTCAAGAGTCATTGGTTAGACACGTACTGAAATGGAGTTTACATGGAACAGACAAAAAGGGTTCAAATATCAAGTCCACAGAATTCTAGTTTTTCATCACAACCTCATCTTTTTGCCGAATAAACCAATATGCTTATGTATGCTCTTGCATCAGCCATTCCAATAATACCAATCTGAATTGAACTTCAAACTTCGCTATATATAACATATATCTGCACCCTTTTATTACAAATTCATTTTCGTTTTCCTTTACACTTCATTTCAATGGGTTCCTTATCCGAACAGCCTCATTTTGTGTTGTTCCCTTTCATGGCTCAAGGCCACTTGCTCCCCATGGTAGATATTGGTAGACTCTTGGCACACCGTGGCGTTATTGTCACTATAGTTACAACACCTCATAATGCAGACAGAGTCCAGAAATCGATCGCTCGAGCTATCGAATTGGGGCATCCTATCCGTTTAGTGCGGCTCCGGTTTCCTGGCAATGAAGTCGGATTTCCAGATGGGGTTGAGAATGTAGACATGGTGCACTCATCGGAGGACTTCCGCAAATTCATCATAGCAGCAAACAAGATGGAAGAATCAGTGGGGAAGTTGTTTGAGAAGCTAACACCTCGCCCCAATTGCATTATTTCAGACGTGTGCCTCTATTATACCCACAAAATTGCTACCAGGTTTAAGATTCCAAGGATATCGTTCAGTGGATTTTGTTGCTTCTGTACCCTTTGTTTGCACAATATACATTCCTCCAAGATACTTGAGACCGTAGCCTCTGATTCCGTATACTTCACGGTGCCAGGCTTGACCGAGAAGGTTGAATTCACCAAAGTCCAGTTACCGCTTCAGAGGGATGAGTCCTGGAAGGAAATAATTGAACCACTCGTAGAAGCTAGCCAAGCAACATATGGGGTTGTCATAAACACTTTCGAGGAGTTGGAGTCGGCTTTCGTCGAGGAGTATAGGAAGGTAACAAAAGCTTGGTGTATAGGTCCAGTTTCTCTTAGCCACAAAGACGAGTCGGATAAGGCTGAAAGAGGTAACAAGGCTTCGATCAATGAGCAGCAGTGTTTGAAGTGGCTTGATTCTCAAGAAATAAAATCTGTTATCTATGCTTGCCTTGGAAGCATCAGCACTGTAAAGTGTCCAGAGCTGATAGAGTTGGGTTTAGGCTTAGAGGCATCGAAGAAACCCTTCATTTGGGTGCTAAGAGGAAATAACACGACATCGAACGAAGTTGAGAAGTGGATGGCAGAAGATGGATTCGAGGAAAGAACGAAAGGAAGAGGACTTATAGTTAAGGGATGGGCTCCACAAGTACTCATTCTGTCACACCGGGCAATAGGAGGCTTCCTAACTCATTGTGGATGGAATTCGACAATTGAAGGCATTTCAGCAGGCGTCCCATTGATAACATTGCCTCTATTGGCAGACCAGTTTAGTAACGAGAAACTTGCAGTACAAATACTGAAAATCGGAGTGAGCCTTGGAATCGACAAACCTACGAACATTGGTGATGAGAAATCAGGTTTCTTATTGAAGAAGGAACATGTTAAAAATGCAATAGAGAATTTGATGGATGAAGGAGATGAAGGAAAAGAAAGAAGAAAAAGAGCTCAAGAGTTTGGAGACAAGGCAAAGAAAGCAGTTGAAGTGGGTGGTTCTTCCTACCTTAATATTACATCATTAATCCAAGAATCATCCAACAATCTCATGATTTGAAGTGAGAATTGGAGGTGGTTCTATCAATATCCCGCTTCTCACTGGTGCTTTGAAAATATGTAATCAGGGATAGATTGAGGAGGGACTAATAGGAAAGTCGTTCTATTGAAAATTTCAAATTCTCATATAATTTAAGTATTTTTTATATTTAATAATATGTTTTCATCTACTAAAATTTTATAAATTATTTCCCTTAAAATTTTAGATATTCATCTCTAACATAAAATTTTGTGTCGGTTCTTATATAGATACATCAATATCTTGTGACATTATTGATTGCTCTATAAATTCCACTCGTGCTTTCTAAATTCCTAAAGTTGAAGGTGGCATAATTAATTTGTCCAACTTAGAATGCAATCCTGCTTGACATAAGTAAATTCATGAATATTTTTTAATATTATAGAGTGATTATACGATAGTATTTATTTAGATCATTTTCAACCTATTATATATAAATACATCCTACAAACACAACTATTGAACTCATAACTATATCAATATATTCTTTAGGATATTCTGGTTCTAATTTTTAAAAGGAAAATCAGTTTCATTATTTTCAACCATCATAGTTCAGAAAGTGTGTTTGTTCTTATATATATATATATATATATATATATATATATATAATACATTGTGATTGTTACTTCCGTGTCAAACTTCTATTTCCCTTGTTTGTTTGTTTCTTACTTATTAAATAGTAGGACATGGCCATGATATGTATTATATGTGATTCACTTGGACCACAAGTAGTCTTAATTGTTGAGGTACTCGATCTGATTCTTCCAGACTGTCTCCAAGTATTATTAGCTAATGGGTTTTATTTGTTTTGGTCCCTAAGAGCAGGCTCAAATCTATTTCACAAATAACATCCAAATACTTGGGGCCACTGATTTGACTGATACATCCCGGAATGAATTTACTTTGGGAACCAAAGAGTTTGGATGTGAAATTGGGTAATTGTTTAGGTGTTGACATCGTTGATCCACTCGAAATCTATGATATCCTTCTTATACTATTCTTTGAAGGTATGGCCACAACTTGGTTAAAATATCTAGAATTATAGACTTATCTTCGAACCTTGAATATCAGGTCCTGCAGATGCAATCTTAATCTGTCGGTTTTGCAGTCACAACTGGTTTTCATATTTGAAAATCAAGGTGGGCTTGACATGCTGGAGACAACTCTAGTGGCTCTACAAGACATCACATTGGATAAATTGTTTGATGAATCTGGAAGCAAGGCATTGTGCTCCGATTTTTCCAAGTTAATGCAGCAGGTGAGTCCATAAAGCTTTTGTCTAGTAAATACATAATTAAAGGGCTGCTGTAATTTGTCTAGTAAAACATAATTAAAGATTTCAACTTTAATAACAGGGATTTGCTTGCTTGCCTGCGGGAATCTGCATGTCAACAATGGGACGTCATGCTTCATATGACCAAGCTTTTGCCTGGAAAGTCCGTGAAGCTGATGAGACCACTGTCCATTGCCTCGCCTTCTCGTTTGTTAACTGGTCTTTATGTGAGAAAACAGCTGTAATTTATGTCTGAAAAACCAAGCTTTACAAGTAGCTGCCCATGGAAAATGGAAACGATAACAGCTCAGAAAGAGAAGTTAAAACGAAATGAACAGGGAAAAAAGTTTTGTAATATGGAAGGCACCCAGTTCAGGCTTGCATTTTATTAATTTAATTAAATTTTTTAATGCACTATTATTTGGCTTAACCCACCAATATATTCGGGCATTGATGGTTCTTATATGTATTATGAGTAATTGTTTCATCAAATTATATTAATTACTACTGCTTGACGACAGGTTTGATGCTGATATATATAGTATGCATGTGTTGTAAGGAAATAACGAAAATTCGTAGTGTATGAAATTTTGATATTTTTGTATTATGATTTGCATTTCAACTAATGAACAAGGAGAAGCTCAATGGTAATTAATTTGAACCATACACGCCATCTAGTATCGAAAAATATACATGTTTTACATAATTGCGATCGGATCGATCAATCTCCAAAAGATGCATTTATTGAAGCAACCGATACCCATAATGTCCTCGTCCAGATGTTTGTCTCACGGACTGATTTATGATACAAACTATACAACTGTAAAATCACAACCAAATTTTGAGTGAATCAACGACGTCATCACCGACCATCGATCAATAATAACATGAATGTGTCAAAGATATATCCAACAATACTTAATAAATAAAAAAATAATAATAATATATGAACTATCCTTTTTTTACTTAAATTTTGCTTTATATTCTTAATATTTTTTAACTAAAGATATTGTAAATACATATAAATATGTCCATCAAGAAATACACATTTTAGCTTTTATCCCACATTGACAAGAAACATAACCTAAACAATTCAATATGCACATATAAGCTAATTTCATTAAGCTCTTCAAATCATGGAATTAATATGTATTAAATTATAATGTTAGACCCTATAGTTTTATTTTTTTTAATTTTAAAATGCTAAGGCGCAGATGGTGATCTGTGCCTGTCCTTACGTGGCACCAGCTCGGATAAGGCGGATGACCATTCACGCCTTTCATGATGTGGCGCCAGTTCGAGCAAAGGCGTGAATGACGATCCGCGCCTTGTTAGAAAGGGTGCTAGATCGGTAAAATTTGACAAAACGGTGTCTGATATGTAATTATTTCATGTCAGAGTGATTTTTGGGTAAAAATGCCAATATCAAGGCAATTTAATGGTTCAAATCAGACTAGATCGAGTCCAGGTTAACTCAGATTCGAGTTATTTTAGGTTGATTTTAAATCAGATTCAGTTTGAGTTCGGATCGACTTAATTACAAGTCAGATCAATATTTGTTTAGGTTGAAATGGTTCGGGTTTGAATAAGTTAAATATCATGTTAATTTAGGTTCAGATGGACTTTGAGTCGAGTCCTGTTCAAATCGAGTCATATCATTGACGAATACAATTTAGGTTAGGTAATATCGGTTTCAGGTAAACTTCAAGTCGGGTCTTACTTAATACAAATAGACTTTTGGTTGGATCATTTCGGGTGAATTATTTTCCACCTTTCACGAACGTTTAATGCCTTTGTAGCATTTTAGCTTTTATCCCACATTGACAAGAAACATAAACCTAAACACTTCAATATGCACATATAAGCTAATTCCATTAGCTCTTCAAATCATGGAATTAATATGTATTAAATTACAATGTTAGACCCTATAGTTTATGTTTAATTTTAAAATGCTAAGGCGCAGATGGTGATCTGCGCCTGTCCTTACGTGGCACCAGCTCGGATAAGACGCGGATGACCATTCATGTCTTTCATGATGTGGCGCCGCTCGGGCAAGGCGTGAATGAAGATCCGCGCCTTGTTAGAAAGGGTGCTAGATCGGTAAAATTTGACAAAACGGTGTCTGATATGTAATTATTCATGTCAGAGTGATTTTTGGGTAAAAATGCCAATGGCAATTTAATGGTTCAAATTAACTAGATCGAGTCTAGGTTGACTCAGATTCGAGTTATTTTTAGGTTGATTTTAAATCAGATTCAGTTTGAGTTCGGATCGACTTAATTACAAGTCAGATCAATATTTGTTTAGGTTAAAATGGTTCGGTTTGAAGTTAAATATCATGTTAATTTAGGTTCATATGGACTTCGAGTCGAGTCCTGTTCAAATCGAGTCATATCATTGACGAATACAATTTAGGTTAGGTAATATTGGTTTCAGGTAAACTTCAAGTCGGGTCTTACTTAATACAAATAGACTTTGGTTGGATCATTTTCGGGTGAATTATTTTCCACCTTTCACGAACGTTTAATGCCTTTGTAGCATTTCCATGACTTCTACTTTTTTATACGTTTTCGATATTGAAATTATGAAGGCTTAGAATTAGGGTAGCAGAGTAGTTGCCTTAGTTTAGGTTTTAACCCATTTGACTTTATTCCTTCTCGTAGCTTAATATCGCTGACTTCTGTGTATCATTCTCTTCATGTTTCCTCTTTTTAAATTTATCCAGGTCTTACGTTTCTGTCTATATGCAGAGATTTTTACGCATGATTTATTTGCAGGGATTACTTCCCATTACAGACGCGCATATGACTGCATAAGAAGATTGTTCACTATGTTATTTATTTATACATGCATTGTATTTATATTTATTTTAAAAAATATAATTTTATTTGTTTAATTTTATATAAATTTTTAAAATTATTATTGTGACCATGTGTCACTTAACGGAAAAAAAATGGTCCATCATGGGTTAACCCATTTTGAGTAACGGAACAAACTGAAACGAAATAAATGTTAGACATTAAACTGGAAAACCGAGCATAGGGTTTATAGATTATGATACAATTTATAGGGTTTGAAATTATTTTTTTTTTCTTTTTTCTTTGTTAATATAATTTTATTAAGGATTTAAAAATCCCAAAATAAAAATTGTGACTCGTTAAAAACCTATCTAAACTTATATAGAGAAACAGAATATAACACAACTTGATAAAAACTACAACTCAAAGAGTTACAAATCTGAAACCACGACCAATCAACAAAACCCGAGAAACTTGGCTCAAAGACTTCGGATTTGACCATCCCACTTGGGACTCGATGCTTGTCTCATCTCAAACTTTGTAACAAAACACTTCGAACATTTATCATGATAGAATCCGCTACAACCACAGTTTAGAGAAAGGTCCCTTCTCCTATTCACGAAATGAATACAAAGATTCAATGACGAAAACTACTAACCCACTGTCTCGCCTCCAAAAGAACCTCCAAAGATGCCAACACTTCAACCAAACCAGACTCCAAAATATATATAAAAAAAAACATCGAAACTCGTCTTCTTCCACCCACTAAACAGCACCAACAACAATCAACACTTGAAAGACAACTTAAACTGCTCATCTAGGGCACCCCAGAAGCATGGAGTGTGAACAGACTCCCTTAATGCCCCTGAAGCTCACAAATCAAACAATATCAACACCACATCCTTGATATAATATAAGCATCCAAAATCGAGTCTCCAAGATTTAATCCGGCCCTCCAAACTTCAAGTACTACACACGTCCCTGAACGAGTAAAGACACTGACAACCATTAGTCTTAGACGAGACGCATGATCATCAGCCCAAAAGGATTAAATTATATTCATTTAAAAAGTTTATGAACAAAAGTTTATAGAGTTTGCATATTATGAATTTATGATATAATTTGAAGGGTTTGAAGTTTATAATGTAATTTATATGGTACATGCATTAATAAATTATACGTACATTTACATGCATGCATGACACAAACATTAATAAATAATAAATTATACATGCATACATACATACATACATACATACATACATGAACATACATGGTACATGCATCAATAGATTATACATACATATAATCAAAGTTATCAAAGTCTCAAGGCGCATCGAGGCGCAAAGTTTCCTAGAGACTTGAGGAGCGAAGCGCATGAAAGGCGCAGGATTCACAAAGGCGAGGCGCATGATATCCAAAAAATTGTAATACATGTATATATTAATGCAATCAAACTCAAATATCATAGATACTAATATTAGGCTTCAATAGAATTCATTCTCAAACTCAAATACCAACCTAACGTCATAAAATCTATCAACAAGCATAATCAAGTACTAAGTTTAACAAAAGCATCCAACATGCATAAACAAAACATCAAATAAAGTCACTGATAATCATCATCAAACATCAAACGTGAAACATGTCACTCACGTTTTTATTAACAGTAGAAATCTAAAAGTGTAATGGAAGAAACATTATACACTTATTTTTAATAAAAAAATTTAAAAATCAAAAATTAATTTTAAATATGATTTAGACATTTAATTTTATATTAATAATTATTTAGAAAAGGTAAAATATAGAAATGTTGTTAGACGTAAATTTTTAATTACGATTAAATTAATATAAACAAATATCCAAATCAACCGGTGTAACACCCCAATTTAGGGACTAAATTTTAAGAAATTATAAAGTGGTGGATTTAATTGGTATTTTGAAAGAAACAGTGGATTAAATTGTAAAATTTCAAAGTTGACAGACTGTTTTAAGAAGTGCAGGAAGTTCAGTGGCTAAACTCATGATTTGACCATTTTTCTTTAGGAGTTAATATAACACCAATTTTCCGTGCATTTTCTGTAGAAAATGCTCATAATTCCTCTCCCGGTCACCAACTTTCAACTCCGATCTACTCGCCGTCCGACCTTCGATCGACGAGCCGAAACTACCATCGTGTTCGTTGTCGAGCGAGGAACAAAACCCCTCAAACCTTTCATCGTGAATCGTCACCGTTCGTCGTTAATTTCAGTCGGAAGCATCATCGGTAATAATATAGTTTTAGTTGGTGTTTCATCGATTCACGAAGATCCGGTCATCCTTTTACGACACCTCCCGCACCATCTTGTTCCTTGCATCGTTTCGAGTCCGCCGGTGTCATCCTTGGTCTCCGTCGACGAGGACGTGTGAGGAGGTGAAGCGGTCAAAGTTTTCTATTTGTTGAAATCGAGCTATCGACCGTTCAAAATTGTGAACCGAACTTTGTAAGTATCTCGAAATCGCTTAAAATAATTTTTAGGAATTTTTCCGGGAATTTAGCAATGTTCACGCGCCACCACTGCGCGTGGGGAAGGAAAAAGTGACCGGTTTGACCGGTTTTGCTCCTGTTTTAACCAG